AGAAACACCTCACGCTGTGCCCGGATGGGCTGATTTTAGTTTCTGGGCTGGTGAAAGCCTCAGGTGTTGACCCGACCTGGGTGTTCAATGGCCCTGTTTGGACTGTTGCTGTGCGTTATCCAGAGCTGGAAACTACTGGTACGTGACGATCCCTGCCCTCCGCGTGACTGGAGGAAGGTTGCTGCCTCCGAAGGGCTTGCTGGAGACGGTCCCAGGGCTGTGCTAACGTCTCACCAAGGCCTGGGAAGGGTTTGGGATGGCGCTGGTGGATCCCAGTCCTGCTGGGTGCTGCAGCCCGCCCAGGAGCACAAGCGCCACCGCGTCCTTGCCCATGTCCGATGCCCAGCAGCTCCTCCTGGAGCCCAGCACTGCCGTGACCGACTTCCCATGTATTCCCAGAGGTTGCTGAAGGATCCCGCAGTCGAGCGTGGCGCTTGCTTTTCCTGCAGCAACTGCGATTTGGCAGCTCCTCGGGTGGTCTGGTGAACATCTGGCTTCCCAAACACCAGCAGTGTCAGGGTTGGTGGGAAAGGAGAGACACCTCCCTTTGCTACAGCTACAGGCAAGTGAAGCAGTTAGCCCAAGCCAGTTTTTCACACGAGCAGACAGTGGATAGGCAGGTGCCGTCGAGGGTGATTCATCCCGAGCTTGGGAGGTCCAACGGATCCACCTCCCCGCCGCCCCTCCCTCCCGCCGGAGCAGTGGCAAGCTCAGAGGAAGGCTGGGATTCGGCTTGAGGATTAGGACACCCAAACTTCAAGTGTCAACATGTAGGTGTCTCAGTGTGCACGAGGTGCCTGTTACCTAACTAAGAAATGGCTGAATGAAGTGGGATGAGTCCCGCCGTTCAAACCAGACGCCTGTTTTCCAGGGCTTTGCACCTCTTTCAAAAAGAAGCATTAAAACAACATGGAAATCCTGCAGCTTCTGAGCTGCAAAAATTGCAGACCTTGTGTCAGTGATAGCTGCGTGCTCGAGTATGTGCTGCAGCAGGCCACGGCGAGAGGACGAGCAAGAAGCCACCGCGCCAAGGCCTGGTGCAGCTCACGCCTGCACTGACCATAGAGACGTCGCTGCAGGAGAAGACCTGCCTGGTGCAGGGAAGGACGGGGAGCAGAGCCCCCAGGGACGCTCTCCGAGCTCGGCCGAGCCCCCATGTCGATACCTGTGGCCTGGACTCACCGCACAACATCAACGTAGAAAGAAACAGGGTTTGCTCGAGTCCTCCCTGCCTGTGCGCTCAGCCAGCAACCATCTATGTACAACCCAAACCAGCCGGGAAAATCAACCTTAACTTTTCCTGGTCATGGGAGTCATCACGCAACCAGCTTCCGCAAGCCAGAAAAGCTATCGGCCAGATGCTTAAATAACACGTCATTGGTGTCTCTTTCAACAGGTGCTTTTGGAAAGTGCCGAATTTGGGTGCTGGGCAAACCGGAGGAGGGATGAGCACGGCTCAACCCACTGCCCTCTGGCTGCTCAAGACACTTGGCCTGCCCACGTTTGCAAAAGAACCAAGTCCTGCTGATAATTTAAGAGCATCGATTGATACAGTTTAATGAATACATAAAAGGATCTAGTCTTTCTTTTTTGCTTTTTTCTTTCTGTTTCTAGCTTCAATAAAAGTTAAGGATGATTGTCCCGTGAGTAACTAAGGCAAATTTAGTTTGCATGAGTTGTTGCTGTTTCTCCTTTTTTTTGTTTTTTTTTGTTTTTTTTTTTCCTGTTGTTTTGTACATAAAGCAATCACATAAAAATAGTTATAAATAGAAAAATTGCAAAGGTTTTTTTTTTCCCCATAGACAAATAGGAAAACAAAAAACAAACCAACAAACAAAACAAGACGAAAAAGAACACCTTGCTTCAAGTTCTTGTAGATTATACAGTACTCGGCATCTTTGGATACTTTACAATGACTCCAAATTGTAGACAAAAAACACCTGAAGTAACCAGGCATTTGTAAAATGTAGTTTGTATAAGAAGTCGATACAGATTAAAAAAAAAAATTAGATGTTTGAAAAAGTTTTTTTTTCTTTTTTTTTCTATTTTTTCTCCACTGGTTTGTGGCACACAGCGTCTCTGCAGAGGTGGGTTGTTTTCGGGACGGATGGAGGGTGCGTTGGGATTGTGCGTCTCCGCGTGTTCTCCGAGCAGCGCGGCCTCGGTGCGTCCCGGCACCGAGCAATGGGCAAACCCCAAATTAAAAAAAAAATAAAATTACAGTCCTCTCATTCCCTTTGATTCTACGCATCCTGCCAACTGGCCTCGAGGGAGATGGGATCAGCTCGGGGTCTCGTGTTTTGGGGAAAATCTTTAGTAGAAGCCTTTGATACCAAGTTCCCCTGAGATGTGACAGTGCAGGTGCCAAGCTTTTCATCCGATCAAAATTGCAGTGTTGGTGACATCCAAGTGTGCTAATTTTTGTCACCTATTTATATTTATATATATATATATACACACATATATATATAATTTTTTGAAGGTGTGTGGGGAAGGAATTAAGGACAAACATCTCAAAATGGACAGCAGAGCGTCAAGCCACGGGAGCTGTTCTGCCTTATTGGTTTGAACAGGCTTTTTCACATCAAAATATTATCGTTGCAAAGTGAGAGTTTAAGAAAAAAATAGAAAGAAACATATCCCCCTCCTTCCAGAATCACATTCTTTTTTTTTTTTTTTTTTTTTTTTTTAAAGGGGCCCCCCGTTGAAATTCCCCAGG